GGGTGGTGGTTGAATAACCTCACCCATTCAAGCTCCAACTCCAACTGAAAAGACTAGACCTAAAAATATTGAAAAAAATGTGAAAAGAGAAAAGAAAAGGGTAAGAAATTTGCATAAGAAAACAAAAATAAAACTTGGTGCTGCTTCGTTGTAGTCTACACAAAAGACCAAAAATCAGATATCCATTGGAAATTCATGGGCAAAGATCAATATTTTTGGCATGAGATAAGCTTAAATAATATGGAGCATCAAATGCCATATGTCATCCCTTACAAAGGCTCCATACAGCTTGGGGAGGGGGACACAGAATTAATTTGCCATTGATAAACTCCGATTAATTAATCATCCTTGTCGTGTGTCTGTTCAACTAGTCATATTACAAGCACTTAACGAACCATTTTAATATCCTGTTTAGTTACAAGACTAAAAAAAAAAGGCAATAATTTACGTAGCAGTCACAATTGTCTCTATTAGCAAGCACAATAAAATAGAAAATTAATAACCTGACCAGTAAAAAAGAGAGAAATATAATGCTCTATATGTACTGAAACATTAGATACATTTTCTTACGTGAAAAAAGTATTATTTCACCACCGCCTGTTTTATGTTTGATTACACATTAAAAATGGAGGTAGGCGCCGGCTTGACCTCCCTCTCGTTTTTTACACACCAGTGATACCACACAACGCAGGTTTGTTAGGAACAGTCCTTTACTCGCAATTGGATGATTTTTTTTATGTTGTTTAACTATAAGTTTCACGTTGCTCAATCGTGTGTGAATTACTAACTCAAGCATTAAAGTTGTATACTAAATATGTGGCCGTGTTTCATTTATTTTTTAAACTTTGTTGATTTTTTAATGATAAAAGTGAGACACGAACTTGTGTTCGTGTGAATGTAAAAGAAAATTTGACGAACAAATTTAATGACTTTAGCATTCTCATATTGGAAAAACATAATTTGAAAGTGTATCACACCTCTAGCATGGGTAATAGCTTTCATCGGGCAATCAACTTTTTAGTCACGGTGGATGATGATCATGATATAGTGGAGGCTCTCTCCCACGTGGGAAGGCTAAGGCGGTGGATAAGTTTTAGATGTGCTGTGTTGTTGGCTGTGAGTCTGTGACTGAGAGGAGCTTTCATGGTTGAATAGTTTCTGATCCAATATCTGGCCCCAAACAACAGTTGGCATGGCAGATGATCTGATGATGGCCATTATAACCCAAGATCAATTGCCTCACTGTCTTTGACACTGTAGCTAATACAATTTCACGGCAACACACCTGCTTACATGATTAGTGTTGTAGAAACAATGGATTTTATCTCCATGTGATTAGTGTTGTAGACACAAGGGATTTTATCTCCGGTTATAGGTAAGATTCTCTCCACAAGGAGGCTTTTGATGAAGAGCAAGTTCTTGTGGTAAAGTGGGCATAAATGCTAAAAACTGAATAAAATCATTTCTTGCATTGGAACCCATTGGAAGAAATGTTTTCTTGACTTTTGCAAAGGGAAAAAATAGTATTCCATTTTAAAGGGTAAGTGGCAAACACTTGAGTCAGTGAAGATATTGCAAACTGATATTATTGTCTTTCTGATCCCATATGACTCAGTTGGGCATATTGCTTTAGGAAGTTGGTAGCCCCATGGCTCCAATTTTGCATTAAGATATGGATCCTTATGAAAAGCCAGTTAGAAAGGCTGTGCTGAACCTTAATAATGAAAATTTCAAGGGGCATCCCATAATTTAAATATATAAAATGGGTGAAAGCAGAGATCTAGATAAGGGTGGTACCATGTTTCTTTTTGACCATGAAGATGGCAAGTGAGATAATAAACTTAAACCAAGTTGTAGCCCAAAGATATCACAGTCTGCCTTTGGAAAGCCATCATCATAACATGTAGGCCCAACAATTGATCAAAATAGTACACACGCTTTAGCTAGAATCACATGGAGTGGGCAAGCTGATTGCTTTACTATTTGCTCTGTGATGGATTACAAGTGCATTCTACGCGAATGTACAAAGTTCTAGATGTTAGCAACCACCACAACCATGTGGTTTATAACAAGAAGAAGAAAATGAATCAGAAGACTGCAAGATATTATTTCAGAAGATTCTCATAGATGCTATGTCCAGTAGGCTGGTAAGTAATATGATGCAATGGCTACCGATCTGCAGAATTTCGCCTAAGCAGGCATTGTATAGGATTGTTGAAATTATGGATAATCAATATCTCCATGAAATCAATCCTCACCATGTAACATCACTCTGAAGATGGGGAACAAGTCACTTGGAACCGTGCCTAACACTCTCTTCAACCCGAGCAAATGCATCTGTGAGCACATCAATTGTCCAATCCTTCAAATCCTCCTGGAAAAAAATACGTGGAGAAGCATAAGATTTCTTCACTTCTTGGAAGTAAAACATAAGGGTAAGGGGAAATATATGTACGAACACATGAATCAAAACAATGGAATATATCCTTACTACTTTATGTTCTTTCAAGGGAATCCATCAAAATAAAATGTTTTAAGTTTAAGATCCATGGTTGTCTGATTCCAGCACAGTATATGTGCCATAGGAGTCATTAATAATAGGCGATTAGGCTTTAAAGAGTTAAAATTGTTTCTTAATTGATGCTAAGCTAAAGACACTCACCCTTAGGTTATAGAACAAAATCATGAAACAAGAAGCACCAAAATAAATTATCGGAGAGATTGTCCACTGCATAAAACTCGCCATAGCAGTTATGCGCAACACAAAATTTTAAGTGGTCTGGAAGCTGCTTAAGTACTATGAGTATACTAAATTGATGCATCCAGGACTGCCGTGAAAGCAAGCACGGGATATAAGAGCATCCACAGTGGGGGGATGTAAATTCGGGGGTGTAAAGCCACTTTTACATCCCCTTTACACCTCCGGGGTGTGTAAACATGTTTTTTGCTCCAATGGGGGGTGTAAATTCGGGGGTGTAGCCGTGGGTCCCATCCTTTTATGTTGACTTTTCTTCATTTTTCTTCTCTTTTCTCGGGTGGGTCCCGCATGCAAGGGATGTAAAAATAGATGTAAATATACAGTTTATTTTACATTCCCATGGTGGTGATGTATATTTACATCCATTTACATCTCCCCATTGGAGAAGATTCTGGTGACTCGGGGTGTATATTTAACATACACCCCTATATACACCCCTCCACTGTGGATGCTCTAACTCCTAAGAACAAGAGGGAAAATATATAGTTCAGAAGAACTTGACAAAAGGTCAGTAAGCTAGTTATAACCAGCAGTAACCTAACATTCAGCAGATTAGCCAAGAATGCAAGCTCTGATATGGAAAATATCCAATGTAAAGCCACAGAAAAGAAGAAAAAAAGAAATCAAAGATGTGGATTTTTTCTTTTGCACAATTAGATGTCTCAATTACTGTATATGGAAGCTTGGGGGAAGAAGTTCGGTGTTTCAAGTGGTGCCACTAGTTTTAGAATTCGAGAGGTTATACAATTTTTATATATAATATAGTTCCCAAACGACACCACAATTTAATGTGGGAAAAAACAACACTGATCCTACACTATTATCCAATCATCAGCAAGACTGCGAAAACATACTAACTTGTATTGTTTACGAGTAAAAAGTAACTTGTCCCTCACCATGCGTACTGGTTCTCCAGTTCTTATCCGTGCATTTGGACGAGCCAGCTTGGATTCAAATGGAGTCCTTGGCCTCACTTCTCGAATTTCTTCCCATTCCTCACGAGTGAGCATCCTAACAGTGCCTTGTT